CAAGGCAACACATGAAGTGCGATGATGTACGATGATGTACGGTGTCGCAGGCCAGTAAGGTGGTTGAGTGTTGGCTCGGTGCCTCAGTATCCATGCTACGGCAGCCACTATCACCAGCATGGTAGCGCAGCCCAATCCGATTGAAAGTCTCCTCGGTGCAGAGTGGCTGGTCAGGGTTCAACGAATGATGGCTACTGGTATCTTTCGCACGTTTGGTATAGGTCAAGAGGTCAAGCTGTTGAGCATCGATACTTTGGATGATGCAATGCGAGAAGGGAATCTGAGGTTTTGGGATTCAAGCCATTTTTTTTGCATCAAAGGGTCTTCTCCAACGAAACGTTCTTGCATTCGACGCAGACGTTCTTGCTTGCACGATAGTCTTGTGCACATGCAGCGCACAGTAGGCCAGCGCGTCCTTGGAACGTCAGAAGGCAAAAACAACAAAGATACCATGTTTGGTTGGTTTGACTCGCGAAACACATTCCATTCAACTCCTTTCCAGTCCTGGTGCGCAACTGGAGTTCCTGCAATGTTGACGATCAAGGCATTCGAAGATCTCTTCCGAAGGCTCCTTCAAGCGGATGTAGCCCTGCTCCAAGGGCGCTGTGGCTACAAGGCTTCCAGGTGCATTGCAAACCAGGTGCAGTTTGCCACAGGAGAGACATTCGTGGTCAGAACTGAGCGCTTCACCCCGGTCACATCGGCACATGGTCTTGTTCTCGAACGTCCCCGGCGTACCATAGGGGCACTTGCAGGCCAAAACGGCCTGAGATCCAGCTGGAGCCTTGCCGCCCTCAGGGCAGGCTTGACACTTCCTTTGATCCATCTGGTCGTTGAAAGTGTTTTGCAGACACCTCGAGCAGTTGGTTCCCGAACCAAAGTGGCCTGGGCCACAGGCACACATGAGCTGAGGCAAGAAGCGCTCTGGCGTGACACGAATATTGGGTCGCACGAGGTCATGGCACGAGTATCCACCGGTCTCCCTTGGGGTCCACATCTCTTCCATTTGCAACTCACTGGAGCAATTAGACATGATTTCCTCCTTATTTGCCAGTTCTGTGTTCATCATCCAGAGGTCTGTCCCAGACTTGGCCGCAGATTTGATGACGTCCCGGCTCACACGCAAAGGGATCTCATTGTGAGAGACATCCAGCCTCAACTTCGCCGGCAAGGCATGCACCGCATCCAAGCGATTTTCCGAGAGATCGAAGAGCTGCAGAGAGCGCCACAACAAAGAAAAGAACCAGGGGGGTTTCACCTCGCCCGTGATTCCACATCCCCTGGCAAGGATGATGGTGAGTGCAAGATTCGGAGCCAGAGAAAAGAACAAGTCGGAGAAGCTGACGTTCAGGTTGCTACCACTCACCTTGTCATGAAATTCACTCTGTTTCTGATCAGACCGTTGAAAGGCCAAATGCGAAGACAGGTCGTGATTTAAATCAAACAAAATAAAAACCATGGAACACAAGAAGGGAGGAACTTGGAGATACGTTTGCCAGTAAAGCGGATGACAGGAGACAAGAAGCGAGGCACCGGGGGTAACCTTGCCAGAAGAGAGACACAGCATCCGACCGCGAAGCCGATCAATAAACTGTTCAGGAGAAACTCAATATGTTTTTTTGTTGATTGTGCAAAACAAAGGGTTTTGCCATACGCCGGTGCATCATCGCACGAACACAGGATCAAGAAGGGAGACAAGAAGAAAAATGCGGAGACAGCATCTAACAGCAATTCTCACACACTTGAGAAAGCACTGAGAACCCGCACAGCAAAAGTTAACTGTTTGGGGAATGATGCTTACGTAAGCCGATCCCACAGTGGTTTTGTATGGTTTTGTTACATTTTTGGAAAGGGTAGCCTTGCGCAATATGCGAGCTTGCCAAATTGCAGTGTATGCAATTGTTTGAAGCGCCCGCCAAATGGGGGCCTTGAGTGGGTGGGGACAGTATAAAAGCAGATTAGCAATCATGGAATCATAGCCAAAAAGTGCACAGCAACTTCTGCGGACTCAGGCACTCATGCAAAACTCTGAATTATCTAAGGTGCTGGCATTGAGGGATTGCAAAGCTGGGAGCGACACTGGATCACGACCAGAAATCCGCACTTGTGTATCCTCACAAGCAAAAAGGACAGGTTTCAAACCGTGCAGCCACACTTTTCCACAAACACGTAGAAAAACACTGCTGCAGTTCCGAGGCTGGCACTCCAAGGTGCAGTTTCCGGAGCTTTTTGCAGCAACCCTCCAAGTCCTCCAGGTTCCCAGACACCGCGGTGCCGGACAAGTCGGCCTTCACCAGGTTGGGCATGCTGCTGATGACGCCGAAATTCCCATGGACTCGAGACTGTGCAAGGGAAAGGCCAGAGAGCATAGTCATGTTCGTTAGCCCCGATACATCACCCATGACCTCTGTCTGTGAAAGCTCAAGGCGCCGGAGTTTTTTCAGCCTTGAGACCTCCGCGACGTTGCCCGACACCTGGGTGTGGGGAAGGTGAAGATGTGTTAAATTGGTGAGCTTCGACAGCTCTGCGAGATCGCCCATGACCTGTGTCTGCGAAAGGTCAAGTTCGAGGAGTCCTTTCAGCTTCGATAGTTCCGCGACGTTGCCCGTGACCAAGCCCCTAAGCTGCAGAGTTTGCAGATCCGTCATCTCTTTGACGGAACTCAAATCTCCGGTGATGTCGCTTCTCCAAATCTTTGTAAGAATGCATTCCTCGCACCCAATGTCCTTCCAACGACATGGATCGCCTTCTCCCGAGAGACCCAGGCCCTGCAGCTGCCTTCGCAGCTTCTCCTGCACTTCTTCAGGGCACTTTCGCGCCTTGGCAACAGCCACAACCCCGAGCCACCGCCACTGACTTTTGCGGGGATCTACAAGATCTTCAAGATTTATCAAGCTTTGGAGCTCTTCAAATGACTGAAGTTCGTTCATCTTCGCAAGCAAACCTTTTGCGCAAATTTCCATCAACTTGCCATGACGTACTCTAAAACACAACCTGACAATCTGTTCTTCGCCTCGTTGGTCTCCAGCAGAAGCGAAGATCTATGCCCGAAGTCCTTGGTCAAGCTTGCGTGGATGGCTCAATGACCGTCTGCATGTGTCAAACTATTGGATTAATTTGGTTGGTTTGTAATATTTTGTAATAGTTGGTATTTCACTAGAAACCAACCAAATTTACGGTCTTTTCTTGTTCAACAAACTATTAGCCCAATACACTGCAAAAAACTTGTTGAACTGAGGACCTTCATGTGTGGTGACTCTTGACTTTCCCAAGCATTTTACCCAACTCGATTGCTGCCCGGGTTTCCTCATCGACGGATGGTCGGACAGCAGCACACAGAAACCATAGCTGTGCAAATATGAAAGGCATTGGGCTTGCGCCCATGATATTTGTCAAAGCATCCACATTTTGAGCCAATCTTTCGCTGCGCGAACCACTTTGAGGCCTTGAAAATGCCAATGTTCACATATCTTGCTATCAGGTCATATCTGGTCTGGCTCCAGGTCCACAGTGGCAAGTCCCAGGTCGATTTTCTTCGCGTTCCACCCATCCAGTAGATTTTACTGCATACAACCTAGCGGAGGTCACTAAGCACAAATCATTTGCTAATCTCGATGCTGAAGGATGATCTGTTTTAGTTGTTTGTTTCAAACAATCAAGCAACATGTTTGTAACAAATAGCATGTTTTGTTGGGTTCTTGGGGGATTTGGAAGTCTCGCCATGTCAGGATATTCGCCCTTCAGCATCAAGAGCGTTTGTGGGCGAACGTTCACAGACAAGAACGACAGCTTGCCTGGCAGCAGAAGTCTGAGAGCAATTCAAATAACCTCCCACCAGGCCGTCCCCATCTTGGCTGCACAAGCCTTTCCTGGAAAATGTTGGTACCCTCTGGTAAACTAACATAGCTATGGAAAATCACCATTTTTAATGGGTAAATCAACTATGTCTATGGCCATGTCCAATAGCTACGTTAAATTACCAGCGGGTATTTCCAAAAAAGGGGTTCCCTGTTTGGACCAAAAAAAAGTCAACAGAGTCGCTGCGACGCGCTTGCGTTTCAGGATAGATTCTGTTCCAAAAAACGTGTTGGCCTAAACCAGGAGGAACTCCAACTGCGCTAAAAAGAAACACCGGAATAAGAGATAGGAAACACATCCTCATCTTCGACTGAGAAGGTCCAACAAAGCTACAAAAGTCGTTGTTTTCCACGTTTGTTGGCCTGTTTTTCAGATGCCATCGTCATCTCCGATGGTTTACGATGCCACAAATGAGCCATCCATCTGTCATTCGCAGGCTGCTGTCCCAAATTCTTGAGGGCATATTTTTCCCCAAGGGGTTTGGCCTCCGGATGGTGCTTCCAAGATGTTCCATGGCAATTCCTGGCGAAAACAAACCCATTGGGCCCTTCAGGGGCCTTGGAAGCCCCAGAATTTGGTCATCTAAACAACTGGCGATAAGATGCAGTAAGATGCAATAAGATCAATAAGAACATATCTTGCTATCGATATACAACATTCCAGTTGTATGGTCCAACTCACGACAAAAGTGTTTGAAACGAAAAACTAACAAAGTTGCAGGGATGAGAAAAACCTCACAGAGAAGTGGTAGTTGGCTGTTTGCATAAGTGAGCCTTGCAATATTCTCACATGTTTGAAACACAATATGTCCGTTATCCATCGATGCTCAAACACCAAAATTACAGGAACTCATGCACACATGAGAGGTCTACAGTAAGAGCTGCAGAGAGCTCAACAAATGGAACCCAGCCCACGAGAGATGCAAGTTGCCAAAGGGGGCGCATCCTGCAGCAAATATGTTGGTGATTGGATTCTGAACCAAAACATCGAACATATCCTCGAAGCTGACGAAACCAGGTTGCAACCACTCACCTCCGCAGATCACAAAATAAAACGTTGAAAGGCCGAATGCTTTGACAGGTCCTAATTACCATCTGGTTATTTAACATAGCCATGGGAAATCACCATTTTTCCCGAGAGCGTCTGAGCGCAGGGTTCTTCCAATAGTGGGGGTCTGTATCTCATCTTCTCATCTTCACACCTTCTCTCACACCTTCTCATCTTCACATCTGCTCATCTTCACATCTTCTCATCTTCATCGTCTTCACACCTTCTCATCTTCACATCTGCTCCTCTTCACATCTGCTCCTCTTCACACCTTCTCATCTTCACACCTTCTTCTTTACACCTTCTCATCTTCACACCTTCTCATCTTCACATCTGCTCATCTTCACATCTTCTCGTCTTCACATCTTCTCATCTTCACACCTTCTCATCTTCACATCTGCTCCTCTTCACATCTGCTCCTCTTCACACCTTCTCTCACACCTTCTCATCTTCACACCTTCTCTCACACCTTCTCATCTTCACATCTTCTCTCTCTCTCACTCTCTCTCCCCTTTTCTCTCTCCTTTCTCTCTCTCTCCTTTCTCTCTCCCTTTTCTCTCTCTCGCCTTCTTTATCTTTCTCTCTTTAGGCCGAGGGTGGTGCCGGCGGGGAGTCACGAAACGTGAACCGTTTTGCACGAAATGAGGTTCGATCGGCAAAAACTGCGGAAAAAATCCGATTTTACTTGTCCTGGCGCAACCCTTTCGCACGAAATGAGGGTCGATCGTCAAAAACTGGGGAAAAATTGCGATTTTACTTGTCCCCGAGCAACCCTTTCGCACGAAATGAGGGTCGATCGTCAAAAACTGAGGAAAAATTGCGATTTTACTTGTCCCCGAGCAACCCTTTCGCACGAAATGAGGGTCGATCGTCAAAAACTGAGGAAAAATTGCGATTTTACTTGTCCCCGAGCAACCTTTTCGCACGAAATGAGGGTCGATCGTCAAAAACTGGGGAAAATTGCGATTTCACTTGTGCCGGAGCAACCCTTTCGCACGAAATGAGGTTCGATCGTCAAAAACTGAAGAAAAATTGCGATTTCACTTGTGCCGGAGCAACCCTTTCGCACGAAATGAGGGTCGATCGTCAAAAACTGAAGAAAAATTGCGATTTTACTTGTCCTGGAGCAACCTTTTTGCACGAAATGAGGGTCGATCGTCAAAAACTGTGGTAAAATTGCGATTTTACTTGTCCCCGAGCAACCCTTTCGCACGAAATGAGATCGTCAAAAACTGAGGTAAAATTGCGATTTTACGTGTCTGTGTGTAAAAGCGTCTGTGTGTAAAAGTGTTAGTGTGTAAAAGCGTCTGTGTGTAAAAGCTTTTGTGTGTAAAAGCGTCTGTGTGTAAACGCGTCTGTGTGTGTAAAAGCGTCTGTGTGTAAAGCGTCTGTGTGTAAAAGCGTCTGTGTGTAAAAGTGTTAGTGTGTAAAAGCGTCTGTGTGTAAAAGCTTTTGTGTGTAACTGTGTGTAAAAGCGTCTGTGTGTAAAAGTGTCTGTGTGCAAAAGTGTTAGTGTCTAAAAGCGTCTGTGTGTAAAAGCTTTTGTGTGTAAAAGCTTTTGTGTGTAAAAGCTTTTGTGTGTAACTGTGTGTAAAAGCGTCTGTGTGTGTGCAAGCGTCTGTGTGTAAAAGCTTTTGTGTGCAAAAGTGTCTGTGTGTCAAAGTGTTTGTGTGTAAAAGCGTCTGTGTGTAAAAGCGTCTGTGTGTAGAAGCGTCTGTGTGTAAACGCGTCTGTGTGCAAAAGCGTCTGTGTGTAAAAGCGTCTGTGTGTAAAAGCGTCTGTGTGTAAAAGTGTTAGTGTGTAAAAGCGTCTGTGTGTAAAAGCTTTTGTGTGCTGTGTGTGTGCAAGCGTCTGTGTGTAAAAGCTTTTGTGTGCAAAAGTGTCTGTGTGTCAAAGTGTTTGTGTGTAAAACCGTCTGTGTGTAAAAGTGTCTGTGTCTAAAGGGGTCTTTGTGTAAACGCGTCTGTGTGTAAAAGTGTTAGTGTGTAAAAGCGTCTGTGTGTCAAAGTGTTTGTGTGTAAAAGCGTCTGTGTGTAAAAGCTTCTGTGTGTGAAAGAGTCTGTGTGTGTGCAAGCGTCTGTGTAAAAGCTTCTGTCTGTAAAAGCTTCTGTGGGTAAAAGCTTTGTGTGTAAAAGTCTCTGTGTAAAAGCAACAGTGTGTAAAAGCGTCTGTGTGTAAAACTGTCTGTATGTAAAAGCGCCTGTGTGTAAAAGTGTCTGTGTGTAAAAGTGCCTTGTGTGTAAAAGCGTCTGTGTGTAAAAGTGTCTGTGTGTAAAAGCTTCTGTGTGTAAAAGCTTCTCTGTGTAAGGGGTTCTCTGTGTAAAAGCTTGCTCTGTGTAAAAGCTTCTGTGCGTAAAAGTGTTTGCAATGCAAACTATATTGTCTTGTACTTGTGCTATATTGTCTTGATACTCCTCTTCTCGACTGCCTATAACAAATCTTTAATATATTGTTTTGTAATATGACTAACAAGAGAAGACCCTGCTCCTCTACGCTCTCGGGCCATCCGTCGTCTAGTTAATAGGTAAACCTCTACAAATGGGCCATTTCCCATGGCTATGTTAGATAGCCAGAGGGCAAATCAAACGATGATGAAAACCATGGAACACAATAAGGAAGGCAATTGGAGACACGTTTGCCAGCGGACACAGCATCCAACTGCGAGAAGAAGGGAGACAAGAAGGAAGACGAGCTTGCCAGCACAGCCAAGCAACACGCTTGTCGTCGGTGATCGGTTGCAAAACGAGGGTTTCGGTCTTGACTCGACTTGCCATCACATTGAGCCAAGACGCCAGAGGGTTTGAGTCATCCCTTAGTAAACTTTCTTCAACATGTCCTTTTAATCTTGAATCAATATACTGTTTGAAGATGTTTTTGGTTTGGACTTGGCCTAGCGCAGATTAGCCAAATGTGCAAACACTTGGAAATGCGAAAAGGGTGAACATCTCCAGATTCTTTGACAAGATGCTTTCACACTGTGTCACCCAAGCAGTACCCGAATAATGATTCGCGCGCGCGCGCGCCCCGTTTTCTCGGCGGCGTCAAAGCTTTGCAGATGCCAGCCAAGTCCCAGACCTCTGGAAGGCAGCAACGACTGAAACCAACGCTATGCGCATGCTTTCTCCTCCCACTTACCGAGCCACAGGGGCCCACAGGGGCCAAGGCTTGCTGGTGACTAAGACAGGTTAAGACTGGGCGGAAGACCGTGGAAAAGGACAAGTTTAAGTTTTAGGTTGTGCTTCCGTGGGCTTCCGTGGGGCAAGAGCTCAAGTTGCAACCGGGCAATGCAGAGGAGAGTCTAGCTTGTCTGGATCCTGCAATGGACCTTGCGTTGCTTCAATCTTTGTGAGCCGGAACAAATATACGCCTGCGGTTTGCAACATTTCCTTCTGGCCATGTCAGAAATGAAGTAGAAACGACATGTGTTTCTGCTGCGGATTGCTGCATCTTGCTCTGCCTTTCATCTTGACGCACACAGGACCTTCAAACTTCGCCGCTGCCCGGCAATGGACGGCAACCGAGCTCGCCTTCGCACACAGAGTCTTTGATCCTGTCACAGGCGTCCAGTGCGCCCAGCACTCAGAAATCCTCGAAAATGGCAGTGGACCAAAAATTTCATGCAGCAGACCGAATCCGGACCCCAGAATCAAAGCTGCGGTTTCACAGATTTCACAGTCGGAAAAACATCCTCCTGAAAGGCCACATGTTCCATTCACTGGAGTCTCGCCGAGTGATTTATTACATCTGCAATCTGTGAATTGCTTGGGAGGAGCAGCCGTGAGGGATTTAACAGGCGAAGTGCTGAGACGCATGTGGTAGTTCGATGCACCGTCTCAGAAGGTCTTCTTGGAAACAAAACTATGCAATGGCCGGCACTGGTTTCGAACAGCTTGGATCGGAGCGACAGGAGACTTCCGCACATGATCGGCAACGTGCACACAAGAGCTCCAAGCTTGATCCTTTCAGTTTGGCCTTGAAACTCTTGAGATACTAATTTCTGGTCAAAACCGTATTGCCTTCCGTGCAGACTGTGGTCGATCAAGCATTTTCTGTTCCAATAGCGAGGAACTGCCCGCAACTGGGGTTTTAAGGCAATGCCCGAGCCCCGACATGAGCCACGACCCGACACCAGCTCACGCATACGCCAGTACCTTTTCTCACACAGGTTTGACACCGGAAGCTTGCAAAAAGGCTCTTTGGAAAAGGAGAAAAAGAGGTACTCCAAACTTGGCTTGGTTCGCTTGGCGCTCGTAGGGAGCAGGCAGGATGCCTGTCCCCGCAAAAAAAATGCCCAGATTGTTGAAATTATGGCACTGTCACTAAGATGTCCGGGCAGCATCTAGACCACGGGCGATCTGAAACACTTTGCTTGGACTGCATGCGAATGCATTCTTAAAGCCTAGAAGTCGACAGCGTCGCTCGCAAGACAGCTGGAAGGGGCTTCCACCGGAATCCTGAAATAACCGGCCTTACTTTCTTTTGCCTGACTCCGAAAGTTTGGACAAAATTGCTTGGACAAATGATCACTTGCGTTTCTCTGGCCAATGTCAAGAAACTATGCCCACCCAGCAGCTTAACTGTCAGCTATCCTGGCTATCCAGAACAAACCTGGGCTATATGGGAAAAGCAAAAGCACCGCTCGGAAGACTCCAGGGGCCAAAGACACGGCTGCAACTTGAGCCGCGACCCACCTTGTCTCACACGGGATTGAAGTCTGAAGCGTGCAAAAGGCTCTTTGGAAGAGGAACAGAAAGTACTGCTTGCGAGCTTACCGTTGCCAAGAGCAGCTAAAAGCAACCCATGGGCCACGGTCAATATTTAGTATATAGCTCCAAGTCATCAATTTTTGAAGAGTGTATTATCGTTTTCCAAGCCCCGGCTGAATTTCCAAAAAATAAAGATATCTCGAATACTACTTTCTATTGCGGTAAATTTTGGCTGTAGCTCCGATCATGCCCAGGTAGCATCTCAACACTGTGCGGCTGACAACACTCATTCTTGGCTGCCCTTGCCTGGAAAGCAACAGCACGCTGATGACTTTTGCTGAGCTTTACTGCTCCCAACCTCATCGAAGAGCATAAATGTTAGTCTCTTTGTCACGCCAGAAGTTGGCAAAACGTTTTTTGGACAAAGCGGGCAAGGCGAGGCCTCTGTGCCTCCACGACAGCAGAAGCAGCCTCGGAAGTTTAAGACTCAGACCCAAATGATGTTTTTCTGAAGACGAGAGCTAGGCTTCATTCGCTTCAACTCTTGATCTTTCAGATTAAACTCGTTGCTTTTGCTTGCACTTGCGCGCACTTCAGTGTTTGAGCACCCAGAACACCAACTCAAGGCGGCCCCTGTGTGAAAGACGGATGCTCTGACAATGCTTCTGGATGCATGTGGCTGACAAGTCACACACAGGAACAGGAAACTTTGCGCTCTTCCACTTGACGCTGAAAGATTAAAACCACAACTCCGTGATAAATTGCAGTAATGACTCCAGCTTGCGTTCTTTGTGGCACAATCATCGCATCACGTGCAGAATCTCACTGGCCAGGGGCCCCGTGGGCGTCATGGGCAGTCGGAAACCTGCAGCCAGGGCGGCCTCCCTTGGCCTCTGCAGCGTGATGCAAAAAATGACCGCCTGTCGGAATCAGACCATTGGCCAAGCGACCCAAACTGAATGCGGCCTGGGTAGGACCATAGGACCTCTTTCTTAGCGCTTTCTGCTTCTGGGAGTTTCTGAGATACGCCCTGAGATTACACCTTCTTTTCTCTTTATTTGGCGATAAATCCAACACATCAGTGGATATGTCGGGCTCAGGGCCTATTCTGCCACTTCCAAATGTCCTTGTGCACTTGTTGAGCTATAACCTGGTAGCAGCCGCTGGCACAGAACGGAGGCTCACGCGAGAGAAGCAGGAAAGCGGGGCCGGCATGATATGGCCCAGCAATTTGGCTCCCAAAATACAGTCATCATACCCATTAGTTCGATCGAATTCGAGCGTGGTCGAGCGACTTGGTGAGAAATAATGCTAAATGGCACTAATTAGGGAGATTGTAGGGTGTACTGCGAGGGGGTATTTGAAAAATCCCTAGACTGCTACACTTTTCCTTGGCTCTGTGCTGCTCAAAACATGTTAAGTTTAGCTGCAGGCTGCAGGCTGGACTGAAATCTTTTTCGGCATTGGGTCTGGAGAAGCAGCGCACAACAGCAAGCGGCTTAGATTGACCATGGGTTTGCCAACAGTGCAGAAATCAGCCGCAGGCTTGGAACATTACGGTGTTCGCTTGTGAGAGCGCAGTATGCAGGGAGAACCTACAAGTACCAAGGACCCGCATGTCCCGCCTCGCCTAGGCAAAACAAGGTGTGAAAACCAAGACTTCAACAAAGTACGCGGAGTGGATGGGCATTCAGCAGCGGTTTCTGCTTCCTAAAGGAAGACCATGTCGTCTAGAAAGACAGCCCACCTGACCAGCCCTCAGAAGAGTGGACTTGCGGAGGAAGGCAGGTTTGATCAACGGCTGAAATGTGTGTTTCTGTCGCTTCACAGGCGGCGTTGCCGCTCAAAGTCTGGAAGCGCAGCGCTAAAAGCCACCCAAAAGATGTACGTTGCCACAGATTTGGAGAAATGAATGTTGCACAGTTGCACTGGTTGAATCAAACGACGCCGTGAAAATGCAACTGTCCATGTCATCTGGTATTCAATATGTTTAAACACTGCGGTCAACAAGCATCACAGTCTGCGCAAGCCAGCGTGACGGGCACGGTGGCTATCATGATTGCTGGACTTGAGGGAATTCGCCAACAATTGCACTGCGTGCAGCCTCGCCCTTTCTCTGCGTTGTGAGCCCGGTCTTCATTCGATGATACCCTCTGGGTGCAAAAGCGCAACACATGCGACAAGTTGATGACACTGCTGTTCTTTTATCTGCTTATGGAAGAAAATTACGGTAGATTGAACACGCAGGTCAATATGTAACGTGCAAGGACATTCTTCGCGGCCTGGCTGGGCATTTTACAATCCTAGAATCAAGAAGCCGGCTCCCCTAGCATTTGGTACGACAGTTCTGGATCCATTGACAAGCTGACACCTTTTCACCCCTGGTGGAAAATCCGCAGGTGACAAATCAAGCTAAAGTACGAAGCTAACTGCTTGAGAGAAGAGAAAGGTGTAGTTTGGGTGTCGTGCAAGCTTTGGGGCCGACAGCTGGCAAGCTGCTTTCCAGGCACGAGCGTGCAACCTGTCTATTTGGCGGCCTTCAAGCCTTCAACTCCCAACTTACAACAGAGACGCTGTGCTGTAGGCGCAGAGCCAGGCACTGCGCGGGACATTACGTTTCGCCAGTTGGGGAGGCTGAGACAGGAAAGACCTACTCAGTTTCCGTGAATCCTCCGTCTATGCGCAAATGTCGCCAGCACGGGTCATGTTTCAAAGCAGACGCTTGGGCGGTAGGTCTGTTTGGCATAATCACTGATCATCAAAATTCGATAAGTTGTATATCCAAACTTGGCTATGATAGCACAGTGGATCTGAGATATTTTGTCAGGTTTGGTCGCTGGGGGCGTGGACCGAACGCTGTGGCAAACTGTCATTTTTTTGGCAAATGTGGCTGGCAAAATGGCACTTCGATTGCAGCAAGCAGGCACCGCACTCAGAGCGGGCTTCTCTTCTCCTGGACCTCCCCCAAAATCAAGTCTCTACTTGCCAAAAGCTGCAGCTCCCATCATTTGAGGTCACGCACATATGTAATTCACAAGAAAATCACGGCTGCAGGCTAACAGGGTAAAGCCAACAGTTGGCGCCCGCAAATTACTTTGCGCAAAGTTTGTACCAGAAAAGATCGTCAGAGTGAGAATTGAGGACTTCACCCTTGCCAGATGCTGCTACAGTCAGCACGGAAATTCTTCGCGACGGCGCAGACCGCCAAAGGATGCCAAAGGCTCCATCTGTAGGTCAAAGTGATAGAGACTCTTCAGTGCGACTGCCGCTGGTCACGATGCAAATTGAAAAAACAAATCTGCTCCAACGACCATATCGTCGCACAGGCAACAATGCGGCGTTCGCAAAATGTTTGACATCATGCCATGCTGAAATTCTTGGTCAAGTGCCCTGCGAGTTGGATTTTGGATGATGTGACACCAGTTGGGAATATCGGCCACTGTTGTCAGTTACACCTTGCTGCAATGTGCTGAAACGCACTGTGAACAGGTTTGCGGCATGCAGAGAGGTGGCTCAGGCGCGGTACGGTCAAATGAAGTCTGAAGCTTAGCCGTTGTTTGGCTGATTGCTGAAAGAAATGCTTTAACAGATATGATCCTACAGCGACTTAGGATCAGTCAATGTCAAAGCGACAAGGAAAGTAGCGGCTGGAATGACTAAAAGCTGTCTGGGCCCCCCATTTGTTCTTTGAGAGGTCACTTGAACGCCTCACAGAAGCCAGGCCAATGTCACCAAGGCAGCCGCATGCTTGAAGGCTGTCGCAGCATGCCTTGTATCGACAGGTTTCAAAGCCTGTGGCTCAGGTCCGGGTTTCTGGCTGCGCAGCAGGTTTCCTCCTTCAATTACTATGGCACAAGAGTGGTCGGGGTCGTACCTGACACACACACACACTGCTGAGTGTTGAACACAGGTTGAGGAGAACCACAAAAGCAGAATTGAAGGCTATCAAGCACCAGCAGAAGTTCCGCCCAAGTCTTGTTCAAAGTTGCCCATCTGCTTGCTTGGCCAAGCAAGTGCTGGTTGACACGTGAAACTTAGTGCTGTAGTTTGCTTCAGCAACACCTGTAGTTTGCTTCCCACTTCACTCACTTCACTTGGATCAATCCAGCGGACACCAACCGAAGTCCGCTGCTCAGTTTCTTGAAAAAACATACATCTGGACAAGGTTCAACTCTTCTGCCCTTTTTTTCCGCCGTAGGTCACCTTTTTTTGTGGCTCAGCAAGCATTCATCAAGTAAACAACAGCGAAAAGGCACTCTGCATGGAAGGCCCCACAAGATCCACGAGGCAGGGCGTTTTCCACGCGTTCCATGCAGCTGCAAGGGAGATGCGTGCTCATCTGCTTCAAGGAGCACCAGCAAACCATAATTTTCTTGAACTCACAACTTTCAAGAATCAAGAAACTTCACTGAACCATCAACAGTTTGCAGTGCATTCGCCTACTGATGTGGCAATCAAGGCCGAATCGAACTTCAAACCTTGCATTGCGCTGGTTTCACTAGTGAAATCTTCAAGGAACTCTGCGAGCGACATTGCACTTCTGTCTCGTACCGCAATCCTCGAAAGTAAATCTTGCAGCTCCGAGAACTGTTGGGTGATGTTTTGTTTTCTTTTCTTTTCTTCTGTGGTGAAGCTTGATGTGGGGTCAAAGTGACATGGATGATGTGGATGCAATGCGCGATCGATGTCACACGGTTCCATTTTCAGGTTCAAAGCGACACTGGGACCCATCAGCTCTTCACATGTTTGCGCCGAACCATGATCTTTCTCATTGATCTCATTACGTTTGAAATCGGACTTTGGTTCCCATTACCTCAAGTTACCAATTTCAACTGAACCCACGGTTGGGCTGGCTTGTTGCCCAAAGGGACCCCCCCAAGCACCCCAAATTGTGCGTAGGTCTCATTCAATCAGGTCTCGAAACTGAAATTCACAAGTGTTCAATGTCATTTGCTTGTAGGAAGGGCACATGTTTTCACAAGTGTTCAATGTCATCTGCTTGTAGGAAGGGCACATGTCTTCAGAGGTCGAAGCGGCATCTGTGATGCTGGCACCAAACCTCAAGACAACAATTTTTCGCGCAGGGCTGCAAATTCACAAGTCAAAAACACCGAACAGAAAGACACCAAACAGTGTTCATGGTGTGTGGTCTACCTTTGGCAGCGGCCCTCTGTCTGTGTGTCTGTGTGTCTGTGTGTCTGTCTTTCTCTCTCTCTCTCTCTCTCTCTCTCTTTCTCTCTGTCTAGCTGTATGGCTGTCTGGCTGTCTGGCTGCCTGCCTGGCTGCAGGGCTGCCTGGCTGCCTGGCTGGTTGATTGGCTGTCTGTCTGTCTGTGATTGTTTTGCTCGATCCAGAAACGCTTCAGATTCATAGGCTTTGTACATGTTGTCCAATGTTTGCAACTGCACTGAACTCAGAGCTATGCTAAGCAATGCTACAATGATTCAACAGTGTATGCACAAATATATACATGTCATGGAATGCTACGCAAGGTGAGTCAATTCCAATCACCCCGCCTCGATACTGTCATTTTGACTTGTACCGCGCATGAAATTCAAAAAGACCAAGTCCATGAGGCATTCATCGTATGCCACTTGGCAGAGGGCCATGGACTTCACTAAAGCTCCGGCTCAAAGTCTTCTCACACATCATCTATAAGGGCAGCACGCTCGTTCATCTGGTTCTGCAACCTGCACATCGCATCTTCATCGCCCACAATCTCTGCCTCGTCATACTCAGTCTCAAGGCGACCATATCTGATTTGCAAGACCTCGCTTGCATCTAACATCAGCTGGTGAAGACGTCGATCATATCTTCACGTCGTTTTATGAGGTGGTTTCCACTCAAAGGCTCAGTTGGGTTTGCAATGACTGGTGCACTTGCTTCGTCAGGGTTTTCAACCAGAGGGTCAAAAACCATTACCTCTTCTCCCTCTCCATTCTCGCATGTCACTTTTCCCACACCATGATTAATTAGCCACTTTGTCCTTGTAACTTTTGAGCAGTCCAAAGACCTTGTGGAGCTTGACATCCCATCGCAACTTGGAGCACTCACCACGCAGCAACTTGTTCTGCTGGTACACATAGAGAAAAGCTCCAAGTGCCATGCAAAGCAACGTAGTGAGCAATGCAACCAGGAGCTGAAGCCACATCAACGAAACGGGTGCACTGCTTCGGCGGTCTCGAGACTCATCGCCATTGTGGTTGGCAGGCTCAAGGCGTTCAGGAGCAAAATGTGCATGTGGTGTTTTGCATTTGGTTTTGTTGAACCTGCAGCTGTCATCATTTTGATTCCTTGACGCATTACGTCCTCTGACGCATGCCATAGTAACCTCTTCGCCCACGAAGCTTGAGGTGCTTAGATTGCAGACACGGCACAAACACATGAAGTACAACATTCTGTCTCGAGAAAGTTTCTTCGTACCCAAGCCTGATGGGTTTTCACGCGCGGAGACTTTTCCAAGGGTCAAGAACTGTTTTCACGTTTGATTGAACCCAGAATATTCTTAGGCTGATCTGCAGAAAAATGCACGACCAGCAGAGTTGTCCATGCAAAGTTGGAACTTCACCTCAAGAGCAGCGCCAACAGCAAAGACTTTGCAGTGGTACATGAAGGCACCATCGCAGCATGCACTTGCAGCGCTATAGATCTCAGCCTCGGCCGAGCTCAAGGCCAGTGCCCTATGAGACCTGGAGGTCGGATACATCAGGATCCCAAACAAAAATAAGCATGCTGAGGAAACTGACCGTCAGGTGGCCTTGTGCTTTGCACAATCGCTGTCTGAGTACACTTCCAAAGTGGCTTTGTATGAAAGCATGATGCAATGGTCTATGCATCCCAGTGAGTACATGCGTAAATGTCGAAGACACGCAAGGGCTTGGACAGTTGGGCGTGTCATACATTAAGACGCACCTCCTATAGTATATTGACACTCCACATAGTCACTTGCAATATACAACAACACTCCAACACATAACCTGTAAGTGCTAGTGCTTGCATCACTTGGGCTAAGTTCTGCAGTTTTGTCAGGCTCATCCAGCAAAGGGTGTCCTGAAGCACGCTTGGGTTGGAAGTTTCTGCTGATCTTCGTCAAGCCAAACAAACGTTCAAGATGCTTCCCATGACTCTGGGTAACCAACTCATTCTCACTGAGCAAGGGGTGCCTTCTTTTGAGGAAGGTCAGCTCATCACCAGGCTTCTCAACCTTTTCGCATGAAACTTTGTACTTGGACTTCAACGCAGGCAACAAGACATACTCCAAGTAGTCTTTCTTGCTGAGACACAGGACGTCGTCCACGTGCAGCATCGGCAAACATTCACTTTTGCCCGACCTAAGCAAACACGGATACGGCTCACACTCATCAAATCCAAGCTCGTCGTTCAAAAGGCTGCTGAACACTTCATGGCACATTTGAGAACCATTTCTCTGACCTGGCAGCACTCTTCCAAGTTTGAACTCAGCTGTTTGGCCGCCAGCATCTTCACATGCCACCTGAGTCAACCATGAGACAAGCATCAGTTATATCAATAGGCACAAGACATAGTTTGAAGACTTCCATTTCATACACAAAGCTGGTAGAAGACTAACTGTGAGAACCGAACGTGGAGGAGAAAGCAGGTCTTGACGATCTGGCGAGAGCCACGCAAACTCGCGCGCAACAATCTTGACCGCCTCAACCACGCATGCTGACCTTGGATGCGCCTGTCTCTCCAAGGTCTGACCATACGTGCAATCAAACGTTTGGACTTTCACCATTAAACTCAAAGGTCTTGGCTGGGAACAAGACATTCATCTTCTTCAGTCGCTCGATCTCCACCGCATCTGCAATCACATCAAGTTCAAGCAGTTCTACAGCAGTCAAACTGGGTTCCAACATTGTAGATGGAACAGTCAAACGTTTAAAAACATCGGCATGTGTCATCGACGCCTCAGGCTGGAGGTCGTCAGCCCTTTCTTCATCATCCAAACCATAGTCATACCTTTCAAGGTCATCAATCTCTGCATCCTCAAAGAAAGTTTGGTAACTATCATCTTCATGCTCAGAAAAACGCAAGATTTTCTGGTGCTTGTGGGGCCTGTTGGCATCATCACTTGGATCTTCGTCTCGTTGATGGACATGAGTCCTATGGGTAGTTCCTATGGGTAGTTGCGTCCAACGCACTTGGTCTAAGACATGGAGAAACAGAACTTGTGGGAGCTGAACTGGAAGAAGTTGCAACACCACTTGGAACATGCTCTGCAATTGGAGTGAGAGGTGCGCCCAATCCAACTTGAGGAGGGATAAAACCCTGCCTCAACTGACATCTCCATAGTCTAATCACCATCTTGTCGTAGCAAAACAGGAGCACTCAAAACTGGAGGTGCAAGAGAACGAGGAAGTGCAGGAGTTGCAGGAACCAGTCCAACCGCCTCGGCTGGTGTCGGTGGCACATTCATCACAGCCTCAGTATCGAGATCACGGTCTTTTGCCAGAGGGAAAGCCAAAGCAGGAGGTGAGGTGACTCTTTTGGCCAAAACAAGTTGGGAGCCAAGTGAAGCATACCCAAATTGCCATGGACTGGCCTCCATGTTGCCAATCATCTCCATGTCGAAGGGATGGAAACTTTCTCACGCTCCTAGTCACAAACAGCTCGGGATGGCCAAGAACTGCGACAATGTGCACATCATTCGACATCGTCTTTCCCAACCAAATGCCTTTGCCCCATTGTGGGGCTCCTTTTGTGGGGCTCCAACCATTGGTAGTCGACCTGAATAAGATCGATTGGCGCAGATCTCACAGGCAGTCAGCCCCTGTTTCACTACAAACCTGTTGTGTATCCAAGCACTGCAGTGCAAGAGTGCCCACTGATATAGCGGGTGTTGACAACCAATTGCATCAGTTAGACCACAGCCACGTTCACTGTTACTTCTGCACCACCATTAGAGAGAACCAGGGGCAACACGTTCATCCAAAGTTTTGATACCAAGGGCACGGCAGGGTTTGCGGACAGCTTCCAACACAGAGAGCGTGGCTGGTTCCTGGTCACTTTCAAAGAAATAGTTTCATGTCCCAACCATGTAAGAAATCTGTAAAACTCAAACAGTTTCAAGTGTTTTCCACCCTTTTGAGGTGTTGGTATCACATGCATTGCACCCGTGTCTCTGTCATGTATATATAGACCACAAGCCTTGGTCTCACCGTCAAACCGTGCTGCATACCCAAAGTCGAAACTCACGCAAGAATGGCCACCACTGGCCTCAACACGTTGAGGATGAGGATCTTGCATAGCTTTGTTAGCCACACAAAGCCACACCATGCAGCGTATGGTTGGTGTGCCATGTTGTGCTCTGAAACTTCCTTGGCAGTAGGTTCAACTGGGACTGATTGTGCATGAACAGGCCTTTGCATCTCCCCTTGAAGCTCTCGTCTAGCTCCATGCGAAGCTATCAACACTTGCGCCTGCAAGTGGTCCCACAAACGTTTGAGACATTTCATTTTGCTTCCACCTGCTGCCAACCCCAAAGACTCACATGCCGATCTCAATGTTCTCAAACTTGAGTTTCAATCAAGTTTCGCACCATCAATCACAACCTCAGTGGGATCACCGCCCTCGTCCCTTTCTGGAACTGGTACTTCAGCGTCTTCAGCCTCTTCTGCAGCTGGAACATCATCCATTGGCCCGTCAGCTGATCCAGATGCTTGCAAAGGAATGCCAGAACGTGGGGCTACGACCTCTGCATGAGGTCTTGGAACAACATCTCCATCGCCAAGTGTAAAACCTAGAGATTGAGGAGGAACCATGCTTGTATGTGCTATGGTGATCACTTCAACAACACGTTTGGCAGAATCAAAAAGTGCCACCATCGTAGGAAGCTCTGCTGACGCAGCACTCATCCAAGTCCCATGAACCATCCTCAAAAAACAAATCAAAGTTGTTTTCAACCAAAGCAAACCTTCACTTGGACAAAGAGGAGTGCCAACATGCTGAGGAGAAATGTTACACAGGGCAAACGCGGCATCTCCAAGTTGCGTCCATCCTGAAGTCATACCAGAAAGTGCTGAACTCAATGTCAAAGCTCTCACATGGACGCCGGATAAAGATTTCGATGGGGTGTCTGCAGCATCTGAAGTGGTTACCATCCTAAAAACTCCAACGGCAGAAAATGAGGTGCGTTTGACATGAATCGGAATACGTTTCGAGTTTCTCGCCAAAAACATGCCTTCTTGGTTCTTTTCCAACAGCTGTCCATCTTTCAGAAGCCTTTCCATTGAAATCCAAGGAGAAGTCACTGCAGCAAGGATAAACCTTTCTCTGAACACGACTGACCCAAATCGGACTTCAGCTATTCTAGCATCTCAAATGCAAATTGGTTTCCCTTGCGCATCAATAAATGAAGAACCATCAAAAGAAGTGTCAGGCACATGGTTCATCTCCACCATTGCAAACATCTGCAAATTGTTGAAGAGAAACATCAGCTGAAGAGTCATAAACTGCCCAGTCACTGTCAGTGTCAGAATATGTCATATCAAATTGAATGCAGCGCTCTATATATTCACCACTGCCAGTCAAGTCAGAAACCACTGGTCCATCATTCAACTGTGGAACCATGTTGCAAACCCTCATGGAATCATACATGGTGAGATCGCAAGTCACAAATCTCGAGTTAATCCGAGTCCTCGATAATTGGTCCATGCATGCCATCACAACTGGTCAGCAAACGAACTGAGCTGGCAGGGGCAGTAGATGGAGGAGAAACTGAAGGGCCACTGCTTGAAATATTGGAAGGTGCAGGTTGCGCTTCAACTTGGCTCAAATTCTTGGAGTCAGGGCGAACATGCAGTTTCCAGCAATCACATTTGAAGTGACCATATTTCCCGCAGTGAAGGCATTGGTCATTGGCCGTTGTTGTTCCCGGTGCATTCTGGGATGATTTCCTTTACCCTTGTCACTTTTGCCTTTACCCTTTCCTTTTGGGCTATTCTTTCCCTTGGTCTTTCCTTTGGCTTTGCCCTTTTGCTTACGTACCTTTTTCAACACGATCAACTTCCATAGGGGCCAAACCAGTGTTGGAAACATTGACATTTGGCCTGTGGACAAAATGCCCAGCTCACTGTGAATCTTCCCAGCGCTCCAGCTTGTAGTAGTGCGTTCATATGCAACCACCATGCTGCGAACCTGGTCACAGCTTGAGTTCCTATTCATCTGGAGCTGCGCGTGCTGTTGCAATGCCTTAGGCAGTGCGCGAACAAGTAAAGAAAGCATCACATCATCTGCAACGTCTACTCCACTAGCCCGAACGTATTCGGCCCTCATCCTTTCAAGGCCTAAGATCTGATCCAGCAAAGTCTTGTCCTTCAAAGTGAAGTTGGGCACATTCACAAAAGCGGAGAGTATGGAAATTGCTCTGCTTTTCGTCTTGGGCATGTAGATTTGACTGAGCTGCCGCCAGACTTCAAAGCCGTTTCAACTCTCCACCTGTCTCAACATGAGCAGTGGTTTTCCTCTCAGCAAGCCAGTGACTGCAACAATCTTGGGCTTCTTGGGGCTCACCTGCAACACTAACTATTGGACTATCTGCATGAACCGACTCTATCCTATGCAAATCCTGCTCAAACAACTTGTTGCCATAGAACAGCCATGCACGGAAGTTGACAGTGAAGTCTTGCCATTTTCCCAGATCATCTTCATGAGCTTCTGAACCAAAGGGGCCAGGTTGTCGACTCACCTTGGCGGCTTCTTGGAAACGTCCAGTGGAACTTCTAGCAGCCTGATGCTCTCTAAGAGCCACAACAGCATCTCCTGCGGCTCGTGCCGCACCACTAGCAGCTTGCACAAGTTGTGCAACATCAGTAGCACTTCTTGTTGCCACGGTATCCCATGCCTAACCAAGAACGTTACACTTCTCGAGTTGTGCTATGTGCCCTGGAGCCCTCACCGATGCTTTGCAATCAGATCGTCGGGCTCCGCTACCATGATTGTCTTGCTCGATCCAGAAACGCCTCAGACTCATAGGCTTTGTAAGCAATGCTACAACGATTCAACCGTGTATGCACAGATATATACATGTCATGGAATGCTATGCAAGGTGGGTCAATTCCAATCAGTCTTTCTGTTTGTCTGGTGGCTGGCGCGGCCTGGGTGCGTCTCTAGACTGGCTTGCTTCAAAACTTCAGAAATGCCTTTTTGGGGATTGAATAGGCACATCCAAAAATGTAGTGTGGCTGGCATACAGAAAATATCTACTGTACCTCAAGGCAAAAATGCCAGCAAGCTTGGATGAGAAGATGGCACTGACTGCAACAGCAGAACAGCACAGAACATTTGCAGTGCCCCAAAAAAAAGCGACATATCTGACACTGCAACACAGCATGCCAGGGAACCATGGAAGTATCATCGGAGCACCAATCGAGACGTGAGAATAACTCCTTCCAGTGAAAGTCCAGATGATAGATTCCTGCGATCCCAGCATGTTTGACCCTGCCTACCAGTTTGAGGCCAACAAGAATGCAGCTTGGGGTTTCTGGTTTCATTTGAAGGTAGACCCCGAGAAACAGTACGTTTCCCATTTGTTAAGCTCAAACCCAAGCTAAGAGCTGGTGAATCAAACATTCATGCGAAACATACATTCACTTTCCAGACTGCAAGACGTCACAACGGCCACAAAACCCAAAAGACTGAATCAGCCGTCGAAGGGCGGAAAAGTCGGTGGAACAGCAGTAGTCGTTGCACCAAATCGGGCACCTTGCCGCGGATGCAGTGGGGATGCAGTTGCAGTTCCGCAGGAAACCCCAGCGTGGTGGAACAAATAGACAATCCGAAATTAGCAAGATAGAGGATGAGGATAAGGATTCTTTCCAAAATCTCATAGAAAAGATATTTTGTAAATGGCCTGCAGAAGATGTCATCAGAAGAACTCCTTGGAAGGTCCTTTACAAGATTCTTTTAGTTTTAGAAGACCCCTGTACAAGGTTTCAAAAGGAGATCTCTTCACAGATCTGCACGAAAGGTTTCTTTATTAGATTTATGTGAGAATAATCTCTCCGCAAAATCTTTGCGTAAGACCTCGTGAGAGGATCTGCACGCCAGGTCTCTGCACAAAATCCACTTACAAGACCTCAGCACAAAAAAAATGCGCAAGATCTTTGAGGATCTGCACTCTGTACAAGCACTCCCTAAACGACCTCAGCACAAGGACCCCTTTGACGGAGATCTCAAAGGGTCGACGGTCCCTTTACAAAATCCGCTGAGAAGATCTCCGTCGGAGGTCCTTTGCGAAGCCGCTCTGGAGATCTCTGCGCAAGGTCTTTGCACAGGTTTCTCTTTCGAAGTCCTCTGGACCAGAGCCTTTCCAAGATCAGAGAGATAATCTCTGTCAAGGCCTTTGTGACAAGATCTATCTCGAAGACTTCTTTGTAGTAGCTTGGTGCAAGACCTGCGTACGGGTCTTGCTAAATGGTCTCTTTACAAAACGTCTGTACGGTCTCTCTGCAAGAGCCCTCTGGAAGACTCGTTTACAAGGACTCTCCACAAGACCTCTCTGAAGGATCTCCATACTCCATACAAGGTATCTTGGCAAGATCTCTGCGCAGGATCTCTGCAGGGTTTCTCTTTTCAGGTCGCTGGTAGTAACCTTTGCACACGGATTCGTCACAACTTCTCTTTCGAGGACCTCGGTACAAGCTGTCTTTTGGGGATCTCTGTTCAAGATCTCATGGGAGGACAACTTTTGAAGGTCGCTAAACTGGAACACCGGAACACCTCTTAACAACAACTCTTTATAATCCCCTTGCAGAGATCCCTGACAAGGGTCTCTGTGCAAGACCTCCGACAAGACCTTTGAAGGGCTCTGCTCACAAGTCCGCTTTGCACAAATTATTGTTTGTGTTTCTACGTGCGCCTGCAACACTCTATACAAAATCTGAGGGTGCACAAACCCACATGCACATCAAGAGCTGGGTGTGAGAATTGCCGTTTTCATCTATGATAATTGGAAGTTGTGGTTGGGACACGCCCTCGACAGCTTTCATGCGAGCAGCGGTCACAACTGCGTGAAGATTCCAGTATACTTGAGTTCACGCTGCCCGGAGTCCAAACCTGGCTTCCACAAGACCTTCAGCGGCGCTTCCACAAGTGCAGGGGGAAACAGTTTCCGCAAACGTATTCTAAGACGATTCTAGCTATAGCAATGCAGTCTTCAGGGGACCTTGGTCATTGATCATGTGACACTCTGGTGGGACACTCTTGGAGGACACCTTGTCGCACACTCTTGGTAAGACACCGTTGTGGGACACTCTTGGGCCACACTCTTTTTGACACTCCTGTGGGACAAATTTAGCAGAGACACACATGTAAGCAACCCTTTGCATACCCTTCTGTGACACAAACACACTCTTGTGGGACACTCTTGCGGAGCACTTTTGTGCGACACTCTTGGTTGACGCTTGATTGAGACACTCTTGCGAGACACTCTTGGGAGACGCTCTTGCGGCGCACTTTGGTGAGACCGTTCTCTAAGACGCTCTTTTGGGACACTCTTGCCGGGCACTTTTGCAAGACGCGCTTGCTTGGCGCTTCTGAGCAGCACTCTTACAAAACACTATTACAAGACCCTCTTATAGAACTCTCTTGGGAGACACTCTTGAGGGACACTCTTGTTGGACACTCTGGTCTTGCGGGATACTTATGTGCGGAAAACATGTCTTGACATCACCATTCTAATACATTGATGCTGCTTCCGCCGTGCTGAATCGCATACCTCAACCTCACAACCTCGGCGCCTGCCAGACAAAAAAGATTAGGCTTCTCCCAAGTACTCAAACGGAAGGGCGTGCAAGAACAATAGCATACCTTCGCTTGCCACGCAAACCAATCTGCAACACGGCCAAAATCAACTCTACCCTAATCACGCTATTGCCATTGCGTTTCACAATTTGATACACCTCAAAAATGACACAATTTGCCGCGTTCCTCAAAGGTACTACATTCAGGCGCCTAAGGAAATATTTGCTAACCATAGCGAAATCTGGGTCAGATCCGACAGAGTGACGGTCCGACTGTGAGAACTTGAAGTCAAATGGATCAGTATCTAGAATCAAGGCACCTGTGATGACCGGCACGCTTCCAGACGAAAGCGGGGCATCCTTCCAAGAGAAGTCCGAGTACATCTGTGGCCCTGGCCGAAAGGAGAAGTTTCGGATGCAGGTCAAATGCCCTACTTGCCAACCAACAAAACCTGTGAAGCATCATCTCCAACCACAGTCTGCAGGTTTTTGAAATGTCCTTCATGTTGATATACAGTAGGTGCTTCTCAAAAGATGGGGTCCCCAGATTATTTAAAGATGTTGCAATCTCCAGAAGGAAAAAATGATGTTCTTATCCCCAATTTGGATAAACAGCGTTTGAACTGGTTGCAGACTTCCCCTCTCTGTCATTCAGCTGCCTCAGGGATAACTGGTCGGACAACTGGTCTGGATGTTGGGTCGGCGGCTTGAACCAAAAGCATATGCGCTGCGAACAGCTGCAAACTTCGACAAATGCCATCTCTTCCCTGCCATGAGCTATGGAGTTGGGAGGCATTTCTGCCAGCTGGTGCGCTTTTTCAATGGAACTACTGTCCAAGACAGTGCGACAAGCCATACAGATTCAGAACACACAGCCCCAGGCCTTGCTGTCACTCTTTGAAGCTTATCCAAGCCGGAAATACAACAACCCGTGTTTTTCATCATGATATTTCCAGTTTGTTTGGCATCACAACATCTTGACCCAAAAATCAGGGATGTTCTCAAAAATTGCCGCCGGATGTTAAGCGGTTGCTCTTTTTTCACCTTTGAAAGGTTTCTTCACCTTGCAGCCCGCTGCCTGGGTGTGGTGCACCAGATGATGTTTGGCAAGCCATCCCTCTTGCAGTCTCCACTACCCGGCAAACTTCATTCCCACTCTTCAAAGGATCAAATTGAAACTTCATTGGTTTCCTTTCTTTGTTAAGCTCCAAAGGTGTTCTTTTGCTCGGAAAGATGTTGCTTTGCTTCGTCCAGATTGTCTCTTGAGACCTCTCTTGGCTTGATGCTCATCTTTGTTTGGGGTGTAGCCGGCGCTATGTCAATCTCACCTCTTTTTGTGGTCCCTTTTCCCCTGCTCAGCCCTTCTCTTTCGGCCCAAGCTTCTGCAAAGGCTTTAGAAGCTCTGGCAGCGCCGCTTGAGTCACAATCCTTAGATCAGGTGTCAAGGTCCAGGCTGGGAATGTGTATGGCAAGGAGCACGCACCCTGTGAACAGCACGTGAAAACATAGATATAAATTCTGAACTACTGATCTGCGTCCTCCGACCTACCCAAGACTTGGATGTCTAAAGTGCTGCTTGGTCCTCCACAAAATGCCAAAAAGAATATTTACAGTACATACATATACACAATACACATACATATATGTATATTATCATGTAATATATATATATGTATGTTATCTATCTAACATATTATATAATACATATTTATATATATATATATATTTATATTTATATATATATACATATTTATATATATAATATCAACACGGCGGCCCGGCTGGCCGACCGCATCCTGCAGTTTTTTGAAATCCAACTTTGCCATGAGCAAAACACAACAAACACTGAGGCATGCGCTTGGATAACCTGGAATCCTCATCAGCATGGACAGCTGGTTGTGTGAGAAGTGGACACAACACCAATCATGTCTGGGGCAAACTGTATTGGATTTGTATTGAGTCACGATATGGTTGCCATGTGTTGTTGTCACTCTAATATACTTGTGGCCTGTGGCTATGACTTTGCAAAGGAGAGGAAGAAACATCTGCAGACTTTGCGCAAGTCCGGTCCTTGAAAGATTGCTGGCTTTCAGGGCGCAACCGCACTATGTCGTTGCCCTTGCCGCACGCAGTTTTCATAACCACTGCCGTAACCTTCACATTTTGCTTGGCAAACAGAAAGGGAAGCAGGGCATGAAGAGGAAGTAGCAGGGCACACGCGAAGCAGGCGCTCTGCAGGATCTGCGGCTGAGCAAAGGGCTGCGCAAGGCCAATGACCAGCGCCATGCCCAAGGTGATGGCCACGCAGAGCCACAGGTTGTCCACAGCCACCACCTGAGGTGTCCAACGGAATGCTATGGATGCAAACATTGAGGTCTTCGAACAATGATGTGGAAAAAGATCAGGAAAGAATTGGATTCACTATTCAGCTGGAATGCTCGTCCAGGATTCGGCACATGGGAGTTCTATCGATGCCCCACGCCGAAACTCTCCAAGGCACCTAGACCAAGGCTGCTGCAGCCACCTTGGTGCAAACCTCCATCCAGACGTTTTCGCATTTGGCCTCCGGGACGCTTCTCCAGGGGTGGAGTGGGGGACTTGTCGGCTTTCGGAAAGGACCCAAACAGGTTTCAGGCAAAGCCCTGCTTATTGTATCTTATTGTTCCATTGACACATGTCCAACTCTTTTGCATGTCCCAAGCGGCCACCCCAAAAGGAACCACTGAAATGCAGCGGAGTGGCATATTTGCAAAACAGTTGTTTAGCACCCTGCATGACACCTCAGACGACGAAGCACCTATGACCTACAGTATGAAATTATGAAATGATAATACACTCCACTACCAATCACACTGAAGAGTTGCACTTTAGTCTGTTCAGCCGAACTCATGAAAGGCGGGGCTCGATGCGACGACCGTGAAAGGACCTCCATCCGTCCAAGGAATCGTTGACGAAACATAAACCAACATGTTGTGGAAAACAACCAACAACATGGGTATGTCCCAAAACAGGGTGCTCCATGGCTCTCCTGTGTTTATTTGAAGGGTACAGTACAAGGAGGTTCCATATCCGAGTCACGATCTGTTTCCTCCTCCGAAATGCTTCGTTCCATCAGCATCTGCGCCATCATGTGCCGAAGAACAACACCTCTGCATCTTCCAAATCAGTGCCGAAGATGAGGCTCTCTACCTAAGAACGGAGTGAACATCAGCGAACTTTGGGCCAACAAGTTCGACTCAAACGAATAGGGTGCCCCTGTGTGAAATATCTGGGACCTGGAAAGGCCTGAGTTTGGTTCAACGGGATGTCCTTGAAAGCGCGAAGCAGGCTCATAGCATTGTTCAATTAAAAGATTGCCAAGCAAAAACGCACTTCTGCAGCCTCCAAGCACGATACTTCCTGTTGATACTCACCATCTAAGAACACCTATTCTTTTCCACCCGAGATGCCCATGAGGCTTCAGAAACTCCAGCAGTGTTTTCCACGATGGGAGTTACAGTCCTTGGGACAGGAATGGAATGGTTCACTTAAGCTGTCTGAGAAGCCAATCAAAAAAGACCTGACGTGCTGCTTTTTGCGCTCCAATCCACTGCGAATGTCGGACTGAAACTTGTTTTTGCATCTTTGCTGGAAGCTCAGACTGTTGCGTCAAACTGAATGGAGGAGAGAAAAAGAGAAAAAAAATGGAAAAGGATGCCGTTGTTCTCGGCCCTTCGGCCAAGCATCACAGCATCCTTCTGCAATTCCGCAAACCGCGCGGCCCTTCACGTGCACTGCAACATATGCGGCTGTCGCAGCTTCTAGGCGCTTGGCCAATATGGCGTCCTCCCAAAGCATACGACCAGAGCATGTCAAAACAGTCGGTGAGCTCGGCCTTTTGACCAAGTCTGGACAAAGAAATAAACGCTCAAACCATGGACTTTCACTGGCATGGACATTAATAGTATACTTAGTATACTGTATGTCATCGAAATGATACTTGTCGCCAGCTACATCCAGCTACCTTGTAGTTCTCTGCTTCTCACTCCCCTTACAATTCACCGGTGAACTCTGGTGCTTCCATGGTCCTTGAAAGGTTCTTGAGTTCTTGACCTTGAAGTTCTGCTTGGCGAACAGAAACCCCAGGGGATGAAGAAACCGTATGGAAGTGGTCCAGCCAATCCTGTCCACCTCAGGTTTAGCCGTAAAACAAGAAATGATGTTGGACTTCCTTTTTGGGCATCCGCATCCCACATTTCACAACCAGCTGGGCAATTTATTTATTCAGCGTCTCACAATTCTCGTGTGATTTAACAACTGGATTCTTCCAGTGTATTCACAATCTGCGTAGGGCGTAGTCTCCCCCGGCAATGTCCCACATCCAAATAGTGCTTGTCTAGCGGGTCAGTACGGTCAGCCCGAGGATGTGGCCGAACAGTTTAAGCTTTTTATTTTTCCATGCAGAAAAATCTGTGATGTCTACGTTGCAAACTTTGGCATGATCCCTTCCAATTTGATTTCTTTGTGTTCTGTTGGGGAATGTTGGGGAAATTTTGGAGAATGCGGCAATTTTGGTCATTTGGACCGCGTCTAGTTTTGTCATCTCAGTCTGGGCTAGTCTACTAAGTCCAGCGAGGCGATTTCAGATTACGGGTGAGGTACGGTTCGGGGGTTCCCTACTCTCGGATTCAAAATTTTGTTGATGAAGTGCAAAAAACAATAACATGAGGTGTCCACAGGCGTTATCGCAAAAGCACCCCCTTTGGTAATGGTTTTGATTTTTTTCATTTCAAATTGGAGGAACCCCTCTTAATCTCTGATTGTTGGTCGGTCAGCAGAAACCATCAGCCCCCCCGACTACCTGGGGGCGGCCAGCGTGGCATCAAAGTTGACAAAACATATTTGTGCGGGTATATGCGTTTTTAGTTTATTGTTTATACGCTTTTGCTTGATACGGAATTTGTTTTTGATATACCAGCCTCCAAAACAATGTTTTGCAGAACTCATGAATAAATCATCTATGTCCATTTCAAAGCTTGAAAAAATGAAAAGTAAACGTTATTTTCTGATATAAACCGATATAAGATCATATAAGGAAACATGTTCTTAACTTTAGCAATGCCGGAATACAAATTTCAGGGCATGTGCGGGCACCTGCGTAGGGGTAACGGTATCACCTGTTTTATCTTTTCTTAAAACATGCAACGAGCAATGGACAGCACGGAACCGGAGTCAAAACTGTAAAAACGCTGACTTTTCGAAGGCAGAGCAGCTTATTGAAAAGGAAAACGCATTCAATGGAAAACATATCATCTTGTCATGCCCGACCCTTGAAGGTTTGAGCAAAGTTTCAGTGTTGCTGGATCCTACTTCCTGGGGTTGAACATTTGCTGAAATAATTCCGCGGAAAAAACGAACAGAGGTAGACATGACAGCAAAACTGACTATGAATTTGTTTCCAGGTTTTTGGCATTTAGTAAATCAAATCTTGTAAATTTCTGGCCTCTTTCAGCAAAAAAATAGAAATTCGTTTGATCACAGTCACCACAGCACATTTACCGAGATGCTGATCTATACCCGCAATGTTCAAGCCTTAAGTTGTGGGATGTTTTCTCGCATTTTGGAATTCCCCCCATGGGGTTGTGCAAGAACAAGCTACGGTATGATACATGGTTCGTACCCCACTCCCCTAGATAAAGATATCCGATATCCCTGACACAAGAAGAAAGTCCCATAAAATGACCCTGCAGGATTGCTCTCTACCCAACCCATCACTCCTACAAAATGACGTGTGCATTTCATGGGCAAACCGGCAAACCTTGAACTTGTTAAAATAGCGCATGCTTAAAATATCATCATTTCATAGCCAAGTTTGTCGGAGATCCAGGCGCATGTCTAAGTTCTCACATGCCATTTTATGGCGCAAGGACATGGCAATTAACTAATCAATATCAATCAGGAGGGATTGGACAGATGCAAATGCAAACTGACTTTTCTCAGATTAATTTGCGAGGGCTACCCAAAATCATTCGAACATGGCTGGATCTGGATTGAAATCTCTACAGTATGAGAGCAAAACAACAAAAGTTATCACCATAGTTTTTTCCAGGTAGGTCCGGGACCTTTTGGTCTCGGATACATTTTGCAATGTTTTGGACTCATGTTGCAGTGTTTCGGGCTCATTTTGCAGTGTTTCGAACCCATTTTGTAGTGTTTCGGATTGATTCATCTCGTACAGTAGTGAAGTTTCAGGCCCGAAACATCCCAAAATTATTCAATAAAGGTTATCGTGTTGGTTTTGAAGTGGCGATGCTTGTGGAAAACTAGAAGTGCCTCAAGAACCTAAATTGTGCGAAGGAACCAAACCATACCGAAACATCCCCCTTGGAATTCACCTGGGGCTGGGGCCACCCAAAAGTAATGTCCCCAGACTTTTGTCCATGAAATAGATGGGCCCAAACAAACATCTCTACAAAATGGCTGGATCTGGATTGAAAATCTTTACGAACAACATGTGAAAATAAGCTAAACAATTGCTTTCTTTCTAACTGGTGGCTCTGAATTATCCCTTTCTAGTCCTGATTCTGGATTCAGTGTGAAACGAGATGTCATGTTGACTTTCAGGGACCCCTTTTGCTGGGAACCACATGGGCATCAAGAATTCAAATAGTTTTGAACTGTCTTGAATTAAATGCTCAAAAACGTTAGGACAGAAGGAGAAAACCACAAGGCCGACCCGTCTTGTAGGTGCTTGGAAGGAAATGTGTTATTTTGTAGGGTTCTGATGGGGAAAACAAATAACAACCGCATTTATAATATACCTAATATATCATAGTGTTTCATTTCACAGTTACCTTGAGCCGTCTTGAGCTATATTATAATATGATTGAGGCATTTGAAAGAAGGGAAGCACCAAAATGCCAACGTTTGGAAGGGGACCTGTCATTTTGTAGGGGCACGATGGAGGAAGAAAACATCAATGATCAAACCATTTATAAGCTTGAGCAGTCTTGAATTCTACCTTTGAATCCTTTCAAGAAAATGACTAAAGGGCAATGCTGACCCATCTTGTAGGCGCTTGGAAGAGGACTTGTCACGTCATTTTGCAGGGTGTGATGGGAGAAAAGAAGAAAACATAAAGACTGTCGTATTTCAGATTGTTTTGCAAGAACTTGAGCAAAGATAAGCATCAACGGCAACCCAACTTCTCAGGCGCTTGAAGGGTGCCGGCCATTTTGTAGGGACATGATGGGGTACAACGAAATTATATACATCAAATCACAAATACTCTGGAAAACATATTCAAAAACAAACGCACACAAAGACACAAAAAAACAAATCGGACAGAATTGAACTGATGTCCCAAAACCGTCCCTTCAAAAAACCAAACAATGAAAACAGCCCAGACCTCAGATTTGGTTTTGAAGAAAAACGGGTTGCTTCTCCGGGAATGCTTGTCTAACAACCGAAAACATCAAAAAAAATAAATGCTGAAACTTGTGAAAACGCTGCCTCAAACAGATGATTTCTCACATGCAGCAAACATCGCAGAATGATAGCAAAAACATGTCAGAAGATAAAGATGATAAGTGAAACCGGAGAGGTATTGAAGATTTTTTATGCACATGAGACACTTTCGGGCAATACGAATGGGATTCGGCAATTGCTCGCACACCATATTGGGATAAAACAATGGCAAAATGGGGAAAATAAAGCTGCACACTAAGTTTTTGAGTCATACTTCCAAAGCAGGAATATTGTGGAAAGTATCTCATGAAAAGACTATTTGGCCCATTTTGGGAGACAAACAGATTATGCATAAAAGCTTCGAGAGTGAAGTGAAAAACACAAAATCTCGCAGGATGTTCCTTTCAAAACTCAGGCATAATCAAAACCCTTGAAAAACCAGGGATTTCTAGAAAATGATTAAGCAAACAATGTCAGAAGAACTTGAAAGTGATGCTGTCTCTATGTCCCGACGAAAATTTATGTTCAGGGAATGTTTGCTTTGGTGCGGAGCCTTGCAAAAGCAGAATGAGGCAAACAGAAGCAACATCTTATCCTATATATCATTATGTATGAACATATATGATATGAAATGGTGAGCATTGTGACTGACTTACAAACCGAATCCTGAAGTAAGAACCA